GTCGCCTTGCAAGGACGCTGCCTCTCCTATATCGCCTGTCTCCCGCGTGTTTCATTTATCTCTGGTAGACTCGTCACATCTTGTTTTACCGCACTTGCGCCTGATCACCCGCCGCCTGCAGTAGTAGCGTGTCCCTAGCGCACGACATACTGGGCATCATACACTCGTCCCCTCCCACCGCTAGAAGTAGTGGTAAACGTCGCAACGAGGCATGAGGCCAACACGACGATAAGGAACACACCGCCCCCAACGCGACGCGTTGATACTATTCCATAACCTCACAATTTATCATATCTGCCCGACGTCCACGTGCCTTGCCCGAGCACTTGACTCCTCCCATCGCCACTACCGTATACGTCGCGGCACACTTCAGATTACTACACCATGGCTTTCATACAGCAGCACAGACCGCAGCCCGGAAGGCAGCTATCCTACCAAGCACCAGAACCCGCGACCGAACCCGCAACTACCTCATTACAAGCCAACAGACCTCTTGATCAATCAGAGGAATGGGTCCTGTTCTCGCCGACCGCGCCTTCTGCTACCACTCGCACCCACACCACTTCGACCGACCGAACTCCACGGACAGCTGGCCTGTCACGCTTCAGCGAGTTTGGCTCGCTCGAGACTGCTGCGCGGTCCGAACAAGACGATGGAGTTGGCTCATTTCTTGGGACGGAAGAGGAGCTGGATAGCCTGGATGATGGCCTACACGCGTTCCATGAGCCATCGGAATATGGTGCGCCAGTAGGCAGGCTGCAAGAGAGCGGTGATACTGTGCTACCGACCCATGACGGATTGGGCGAATTCAAGCCGAATGCGACTATGCAGGAACACATGTGGCAGTTCGAGCGACAAAAGCGACGGGCACCCAGGCGACGATCCAGTGTGCAGCGGCACCTTTCAGTCCTCGACGACCACGAGGATTCGAATACGGAACAAGAGAAGCGGCAGCGCATTGAAAGGTGGAGGCTCGAACAAAGTAAAGCATTACTGGAAGAGATTGAAAAAGAGACAAGGCGGAGGCGGCGAATGAGCATGGTTAGTACGGGAGCGAGTCGGATTGATGCGCAAAAGGAAGTGGGCACAAAACCGCCTACTGCACAGTCTGTATCGGACGTACAGAGCGAATCTTCTGAGGAAGGCACAGAGAATCTATCATTATGGCAACGGATAACGCGACGGGTGATCAGGGATCTGATCGGCCTGGACGAAGACACACTCTCAGTCATTTTCGGAGAGTCTTTACCCGATGAGGCCGCCACGCCTACGCCTGGAACGCCTGCCGAGTTCTCAGCAGACAAAGCTCTGCAAGAAGCAGGTATCGACGCGTCCCGGTATTCAGATGATACCTGGCAGACGAAGCTGCTTGAGAGGGTAGCTCAGGAGCTGGGAACGTTGGTCAACCAGCTTTCTGAACACCCAGGAGCCTTCTCCACGTACCAGCGGACACAATCAGTACCAGACTACGCGGGTCTTACACCAGTATTATCAAACACGACAGTCGCATCCGAAGCCCTATCTTCGAAAACCGCCAGCTCACAACCGACCACTTCTCCCGCCTCAGCTCAATTCGCACCCACCTTTCCCGCGCAAACCTCACACACCTATAGCGAAGCATCATTATGGGGTATCGAAGAAGAACCTACCGAGACCGAAGCCGCAACCTCATCCCACATCCCTCCTGCCCCCACCACAAACATCGCCGACGAACTAGCGCGAGAGCGCGAGTACTGGGAACGCGATATCGACGTCAAAATGATCTTCAACTTTCTCATGAAACGCTTCTCCTCGCGACGCCCTAGTATCCCCTCATCTTCGCAAACCATCTCCCCACCACAACCCCTCCGCACCGCCAGCGCCCCATCCACAACCACAAACGACAACCTCAGCTCCGCCCGCCGAGCAGCCATCATCCGCCAACACCACCCTTTGGTAAACCGGACGACGACCGATAGCAGACTCCCCACGTCGTCCGCGCCTCACTCGAGGGAGTCACGGCGCTTTGCTACATACTACGCGCCCCCGACCGGTGGCAGCAAGACTAAACTCAGGAGTAGCTCTAGTTGCGCCAGTCAGAGTACCAAGAAGAGCAAGAGAAGCGGTGGGTCATCGAGAAACTACTGGGATCTTGGAGGTAGTGTGGGTAGTGGGAGTGTCGTTGGTGGCTGAGGTGAGATGGAAGATGAGATGAGATGAGACGAGGCATTGACGCACGATTACGATTATTACCCTTTTGGCATTAGAATACCTTTATGAGCATGGCAGTCGCAAGAGCATAGATTATTGGAGTCGGTTTGGATGGCCCTTTTTATATGGCTAGTGTCGCTGCTGGATAGAGCGGCGGAGGAACGGTTTCTACTCTCTCACCTTGGTTACAAATCAGAATACCACTACTTAGATTTCTCAACTTCTGTTTGTATAAATACATCCTTACTTATTACTATCGATCCTTTAAGTAGGCTCACGCAAGTGATCTTCCAAAGCCTGATGTTCGTGTACGCTTCAAGGATTTTTAACATCACAGACTATGTGATTTTTAGATTGTATTGTAGCAGGCAACATGGTCAGATGTACTTCGGATGACAAATACCAACCATCATGTCGTACACAACTTCACATCACAGCAACACAAAGACACGAGTACGTCGGTATAGCACCATGCTAGCCGCGCCGAAGTCAAAGACCCTAGCGCAGACTCGCTGGCACTTGATTGATTCTCCCTATATCCCATCCTCCCCGACCACTACCAACTTCGCGAACTAGCGCGCGAAACGACCTCACGTACGTGTTGACAACGTACTGCGGTCCAACAATTGTTGAAGCTCTGTATATCTACAGCCTGCCCTAGGCCGATCTAGATGAAAAGGAAATCCGCATAGGAAACTTTTGGAAAGTACAAACGGGCTGGTATCATGTGGGTATAGTTGTAATGCCCCGTGGACGCCGTTGAAACACTTGTTGAAAAGGCTCATTTACCCGCCTCCCAAAGATATGCAAATCTTTCTCACTCACTGACTGCGCGACGGACTCATCTGTCGTCGCGTTTATTAACTTTGAAAACGGTTGGGCTGAAGTTGATTCAAGCCCACCTTTATGTCTTAATCAAGGCGTTAGAATTAGAACTTGAGCTCCTTGGGCTTCTCCCATGTGAAGTCCTGGTTGGTGAAGTGACCGTTCTTGGCGGTCTGGAAGTAAATGGGGTTGATCAGGTTGAGCTCCTTGACGATGACACCGGGGCGGAGGTCGAAGTTGTTCTTGACAATCTCGACGAGCTCGTCGGAGGAGCGCTCCGAGGTGCCGTATGTCTCGACGAAGAGGGAGAGGGGCTCGGCGACACCGATGGCGTAGGACAGCTGCACGAGTGCGCGGCGGGCCAGCTTGGCCTGAACCAGGGACTTGGCGATCCAGCGCGCAAGGTACGCGGCGGAACGGTCGACCTTGGAGTAGTCCTTTCCGGAGAAAGCACCACCTCCGTGGGCACCCCAGCCACCGTAGGTGTCGACAATGATCTTACGTCCGGTGAGACCGGCGTCACCCTGGGGACCACCAATGATGAAGAGACCGGAGGGTTGGATCTGGCTATGTTAGTATGCTGAACGGACGTATGGAGGTTTGTGGACATACGTGGTAGACGGTCTTGTCGTCGAGCATCTTCTCGGGGATGACCTTCTTGATGATCTTCTCCTTGATCTCCTCACGGAGCTTCTCGGTGGTAATGTCCTCACTGTGCTGGGCAGACACGACGACGGTGTCAACGCGGAGAGGAACGACGGCACCGCCATCGTGGGCGTACTCAACGGTGACCTGAGTCTTGGTGTCGGGTCGGAGCCATGGCAGAGAGCCGTCCTTGCGGGCAGCAGTCATAGCCGAGTTCAGCTTGTGGGAGAGGAGGACGGTAAGAGGAAGGAGCTCGGGGGTCTCGTCGGTGGCATATCCGAACATGATACCCTGGTCTCCGGCACCGAGCTTCTCAAGAGCCTCCTCGTAGTGGAGACCCTGAGCAATGTCGGGCGACTGCTGCTCGATAGCAACGAGGACGTTGCATGTCTTGTAGTCGAAGCCCTTGTCGGAGCTGTCGTAGCCAATGTCCTTGATGGCACCACGGATGATCTTCTGGTAGTCGAGGTGGGCCTTGGTGGTGATTTCACCGAAGACCATGATCATACCGGTCTTAGCGGCGGTCTCGCAAGCGACCTTGGAGAGGGGGTCCTCCTTGAGGCAGGCATCGAGGATGGCGTCCGAGACTTGGTCGCTGGCATACAGTCAGATATGTACCGAAGAAGTTGTGGGGAAAGTCCCGGCCGGTTTCAGAAGGTGGGGATGCCGTCTGTCGCGCCGAGCGATACGTGTCTTGTCGCGCACCGAGCAACGGCCCTGAAACTGAAAGCAATTGAAGGACTGGAAGAAGCGTACGTACCAGATCTTATCAGGATGTCCTTCTCCGACACTGCAGAGGTAAAGGAGTCAGTATATGCCTCATACGCATCTCGTGGAGCCAATGACATACGACTCGCCTTCAGATTAAGTTAATATTTGCTCATATGTAGGTTGCTCATGGGTTACGTACTCGTAAAGAGGAAGGTGGAGTTTCCCTTTCCGTTGGTGACGGTCATTTTGGCGGTTGAGAGCAGGAAATCGTGGGGTGATAGTTTGAAGACTTTCGACTTGTGTACGGGAGGATGAGGTGGTGGAGGGCAGTGGAGCGAAGTTTGAGGTTGGAGGGGTGTTTTATCTGCAGCAAAGATATGCCGAAGAACGCTGAAGAAAAATGGGCACCTACGGCCCTAGCTCACCATCGCGCCATGCGCTCTCTACCTGTTAAGGTTCAGGGCCCGTTGTCTGCCCAATGAGACACGCTCCCCACATCTCTCTCACCGCCGTTGACGACGCTAGGGCTCATGGCAGAAAAGGTTCCCGCCTGCAAGCACCGAACGTTAGTTCAGTAAAGCCGAACATTGGAATGACGCGCCAGATCAACTGAGAGCTCAGCCGCAACGATGAGTAAATACGGAACCCTGGTCATGGTATGTGGATCGCTCTTTGAAGGAATATCCTAAACTAACAATATAAGGGCCCTGCGGGTGAGATGCATCTCTGTATAAACTGCACAAGAGACATTTGCTGACTTCCTTCACCCATAACAAAGGCGCCGGAAAAAGTACCTTTTGCACCGCTCTCATACAACACCTCCAAAACAGCAAGCGCCCTTGCTTCTACGTAAACCTCGACCCCGCCGCCGAAGAATTCGCCTTCGAGCCCGACCTCGACATCAAAGACCTCATCAGCCTCGAAGATGTAATGGAAGAAATGAGCCTCGGCCCCAACGGCGGTCTAATCTACTGCTTCGAGTTCCTCATGGAAAACCTCGACTGGCTGACGGACCCCCTCGAAGAAGTCACCGAAGACTACCTCATCGTATTCGACATGCCAGGGCAAATCGAACTCTACACACACGTACCCATACTACCGGGCTTGGTCAAACACCTCATGACGGGCTCCCTCAACATCCGCATGTGCGCCGCATACCTCCTCGAAGCGACGTTTGTTATCGATCGGCCGAAATTCTTCTCTGGTACACTGTCTGCCATGAGCGCTATGATGATGCTGGAGATGCCGCATATCAATATACTGAGCAAGATGGATTTGGTCAAAGGGCAGATAGCAAAGCGCGACCTCAAGCGCTTTGTTGATGTCGATGCGGATCTTATCGAGGACGATCCTGCGCGCAAGAAGCATACGCCGGAGGAGGAGAGGAAATACAAAGACCCGGCGTCGACTGAGAGTCTTATGAGCGGGTCGTCGTTTCATAAGCTCAACAAGGCTGTCGCGGAGCTTATCGATGGCTTCAGCATGGTTTCGTTCCTCAAGCTGGATGTGCAGGACGAGGATAGTCTGGGTGCAGTGCTGAGTTACATTGACGACGCCATTCAGTTCCACGAGTCGCAAGAGCCCAAGGAACCGAAGGATATGGAAGTCGAGTGATTTTCACATCCGAAAGTGTTTGCATTCAAGGTGTTTTGGCTACGGTAGGCATGTCTGGCATTTGCGGGCGTTTACGAATTACGATGGTTGGAGCATACATGGACGCTGGGGGTGACGGACAACACGAGCAGAGATACGATACCCAATACAAAGAACAATCACGAGTATTCACCTAGTGCACTACATTGATCAGAATTATACGAGATACTCCATTGCATTTACGGCAGTACATGTGTTCGGGGCAAACGGCTTATTTGTATAGTATTACCCGAAACACGGCGGATTATGAAACCCTCGCATCAACGTACAGTACGGTGCAGGTGTTAAGCCAGCACAAAACCTCGGTATATACCTCCTGTGTAAGTATATGTCCAGTTCATAACCTGGTAATCTGACCAACGACTCCCAAAAGATTCATGTTGTCGTCCGGCGGCTCGGGATACGCTCGGAGCCGCGCGGTGCTCGAATGAAGCGACGAGAAGACGGGACCCGTTTCTCTACTCTGCGCTTCACGAAGATATGTCGTTTTGCATTAGCGCCGCCGTTTCCGGTCCCTTATCGCATGTTGTCAGCCTTCTTTGTGCCAACTCATGTGTAGGATCCGTGACATCCGCGACTCAAGGCATCGGTGCAGTGAGACTATGTCACGCATCCTCACCTGCGCCGGCTCCTATCACCACTAGCCTGCTGCGCAGCCTGCTGAGCGGCCTCGTGCCCCAGCTCACCACGCAATGCCTTGAGCTTCGCCTCTACCTCCTCCTTCTTCTTAGCCTCTTTATCCAACTGCCTCTCCACATCCTCCATCTTCTGCTTGAAGAAATCCTGCAGCGCCAGCTCTTGTTCCTGGCTGAAAGGAACTTCGTCGGCTCCCTTCTCCGGTAGCTGTGCGCTGCGCTCGCCGTTGGGCAGACCGCGTCTGAGTCTGCCGTTAGCACCGAGCGAGGCTTTCTTAGAGCCGCCCTTGCCGGCGGGTATGAGGTAGTTCCACTGGTCTTCCGATGTGAGGGCGTCGAAGAGGGCTTCGGTCGGTTCGTTAAACTGCACCACCTCGAGGAACTCGGAGCGCACGCAGCCTGTGCGCTCTTGCTCTGCTTGCATCTTCTCGTCGCCGTACTTTTCTAGCTGTAAGAAGTGTTGCCGGTATTGCGCCTTCTCGCCTGAGATGGGCTGGAAGTGCAGTCTTATGTCGATGTTGAAACCTCCCCATCCTGTCTCGGTCACCTCGAATGGCGGCTTCTCTACCATGCGCAAAGGGTTCTCGTATGTGTTGAATATTTTGAACGATACTTTGTTGAGCCAGGCGCGGATGTCGGGGTCGCCGTCGGGTACGCGCACGTATACGGTCCAGCGCTTCGTGTGGTCGTCGGGTACGCCCTTGGGGCGGTCGGGGTGGCCAACCGGGGGCAGCTGCCAGGCTTCAGAGCCGATTACTGCATAGAATGAGTAAATGACTAGGTATGTTGGTTGTGCTGTGTCTTACTAAGGTTGCGACTGATGCGCTTGTTCTGCCCATCATCAGTATGCGCCTACAGCTGTATCGGGGCCTCCGACTTGCCTTGACGCGCTTATTTGAGGCGGGCGCAGGCATCTTGTAAGTTGCGTGGGATAGGGTTCAACAGGCGCGGTCTTGTGTGCTTTGTGAAGTGGTTTGCGCAAATGATAAAGTCGTGTATTCTGTCAAAGGTCGAGCTACGACTGGCACCGATATGCAGGCACGCAGGCTAGCAGCTAATCCTTGTCAGCCCGCCCCGCCTACTTGTCCTGTCCCTTCCCACCTCCCTTCTCGTCTCTCGTCCTCTGATTGTACAGTTTCTCCTGCTTTCCAGCGTTCGGCTTTCCCTCGATCCTGTCCAGCGAGTCCTCGATCAGCCCAATGTGACCGCGCAGTGTTCCTTCTATCTCGTCCAAGCGCGCCTCCTGCTCCTCCTCCATGTGGTCCAGCTTCTTCGTCACCCGAGATCCTGTAGAATACAACGGTTAGAAGAACAACATTACGCGCTTCATACTGAGAGTGGGATTGAAGGGATTGTGCAGTACCAAGATACGTCGCGAAGCCGGCTACAACGGTGAGGTTTGTGCCTACGAGGACGAGGTCGTTCTTGAAGAGGTTTCTGAAGGCTTGCATGATAGCTTAGTATACCGATGTTGGTTCCGTTTGGAAAGATGCGAAGTACAAGCCAGCAGTCACAATACCATATTGCATTTGGCTCTGGCAGAGGGTTCCCGTACGCTAATATGAAGCGTCATGACGACATGGACTTTCTTTCTACTGGTCAGAATTGCGAGTGCGACGTGCCTTACAACGCCATAGTGCTAATAACAGGTTCATCCTATTTACTCCATATGTATGTCTTGCTGAGATACGCCTTGACATGGAGCAACGTCGCGACGTACATGCAAGACGCGGAGGTGAACAGCATCTCCGCATATCCCTGCTCGATCTTACGCGACAGACGCGAAGTGGAGTGACATCAGCACTCGTCCCTTTCCATCAGCCATTGCTCTAGCAGACAACAATCTGACCATTTCTCTGATCAACCACCACACATGACAACAATGGCCTCAACAACAGCACAAGCTGCAAAGAAGAAACTCGTGGTATGCGGCGGCAATGGCTTCTTGGGTATGCAATTGAGGAATTCCCCCGAGCTAGCTCGAGCAATAGCTTTACACCAGCACGACAGCTAGCTAATGTAGCAAACAGGTAGCCGGATATGTAGAGCAGCAGCGCACAGAGGCTGGAGCGTAACCTCAATCTCGTACGCGCACACCATCCTTCCCACGTCGTTCCATTCCTCTATTAACACCTCCCAGACGCTCCGGTACACCCCACTGGTCCTCTGTCTCCTCATCGCAAACACCACCCGACTGGTCCGAAAAGGTCTCATGGCAAAAAGGCGACATACTCGACCCCGAGTCCTATACAAAGCATCTCGAAGGCGCAGATGCCGTAATACACAGCATGGGCATATTGCTAGAAGCCGACTACAAAGGCGTAATTAGCGGACGGGAGAGCCCAATCAAAGGACTACAACGCGCCTTCAGCAGCACCAAGGCCGGAACACAGAATCCACTCACACGGAAGGAGGGGGAGAAGTTGAGGCCGCAGGAGAGCGATGGGCAGCTCACGTATGAGATTATGAATCGGGATACTGGTATGTTGACGCTGACATTGCCGTTGCTTTCTCAATTGGCGCAAACGACTAACTACTGTGTGTAAACAGCCGTGTCTCTAGCCCAAGAAGCCTCAACCCGCAAAGTCCCAACCTACCTCTACATCTCCGCCGCAGCAGGCACACCCATCCTCCCCGCACGCTACATCACAACGAAACGCGAAGCCGAGTCTCTCATCGCATCTACCTTCCCTACCATGCGATCGATCTTCATTCGAGCGCCCTTCATGTACGATAGCAGCCGTACATTCACACTCCCCATTGCGGCAGCAGGCGGTGTGGCTGCCATGATAAACAGCGCGGTTGGAGGAAGATTGACGTGGCTGATGGGCGCGGGTGGCATTAAGCCGCTGAAAGCGGATCTGGTGGGTGAGGCGGTTGTAGAGGCACTGGAAGATGAGGATGTTAGGGGTCCGGTTGAAGTACCGGAGATCGAGAAGCTGGGGACGAGAGCGTGGAGGAAGAATATGCTATAAGACAGACGAAAGACATGGATGATTCATGGAATGATACTCGATTCATAATACCTCAACAACTTCGATCGCATCTATCTAGTACACTGGGGTAGACTCTGCACACTTGTGTTCGACAAGGTCTGCTATGAAGCAGCTTCCCTTTCTTGAGCCGTACCAAGGACCCTGGCCTGCACATGGTAGCATGTACCCTAAGGTGACTGTGAATCAGGTACGACTCAGGAGAGCCGAACTTCTGCGGAGTGGAGTCTGAAGCAGCGCTGTAAGGTGGCTGTTCAGGCTGTAGGACGACCCTCTTGCAACAGCCTATTAGGCTTCTTTTCTTTATGCTCCTCCTTCATGCCGCATGCGAACTGGGACATGCAACTAGATTTGGTGTTCGTGCCGCATGGATTCGAACACTCTGCGATCGCGAAAAGACTGCAAAGCCAGATAATACCCAGGCTCACTTCTTCTTATGCCCACCCCCATTCACCAACTTCTTCTTCATATGCTTAGGCATCTTCTCCTTCCTCTTCTCGCGCTTCTCCTCCTTAATCGCCTTCTTATGCGCCACCTTCTCGTCATGATCGACATGCTTCTTTCCACGGCTAGGGCCCTTATCGAAGATACTCTGGTCAACCTCAGAGCCTGAGCTACCGTCGTCCGACTCAGCATCTGAAGCATCAGAGCCGTTGTTGACGACGTTGTCGGCAAGGAGGGCTTGGTATGGTAGGTCGGAAGCACCGCCGGCGTTTACGAGCTCGGCGTCGCGTTCGATGTCGTAGACTTGTTCGAGGGTTTGGGGGATGTATTGGTTGCGGAAGACGTCGTCGTCTTCTTCCTCCTTTTTCCGCTCCTCTTCGGTCAACGGCTCTTTGCTTAGAAGGCTGCGGATGCTTTCTTCCATCTGCGTCTGCTCCTTCGCAGTCTTGGCACCTGCCGCGCTGGTGATGTAGGCGTAGGCCTTGCGCTCACTCAGCGTCTCGACGTTGCGGGAGCGGAAGAAGTCAGATACGTTCTTGACATCCATGCGCAGGAACTCGAGAGAGCGAGGATGGTCGTGCTCGACGGCTTGCGAGACGTCGATGATCCACTGCTTGCCCTCGTGGTACAGAACGTTGTACTCGCTCAAATCTGCGTGGACAAGACGACATGTCTGATACATTATGCGCATGTATGCCAGCATCTCGAGATATAGACTTGTCCACTTCGCGTCCTCTTCCTCTGCTGTGAGACCCTCGAAGCGCACATCCTTCAGACGGGGCGCTGCCTTGCCTTTGCGGTCACCGACGAAGCCCATAACAAGGACGTGATTCCGCAGCGCATGTGCCATTGGTGATGGAATGCCTGCATCGTGTATCCTAGCCAGGTTCCTACGCTCCTTGTCTGCCCACATCCGTACCATGGCGCGGTTGTTACTCTTGTTGTATCCTTGCCTGAAGCGGAACTCGCCCTCGACGTACTTCGCGCGGTCCTTGAAGACGAGAATGGATGTCTTGTATACCTTGACGGCACGGTGGATGGGGTCGGCGTCCTCTTCCGCGGCTTCGGTCATCGCATGGTATACGTTGGCTTCTTTGCCCGTGGAGATGACACCGTGAATCTCTGAGATTACGCCGCGGTTTATGAGTTGCAGCAGGATCATCTGCGTCCTCCGATCCAAAACTTGTTCGGTTGTCGCGCGGTCTGCCTTGTCCTTGTCCCTTGCGTTACCCCCGGACGCACCCGTCATGCGCCCGGTGAGGCGAATCTTGCCCGCATGCTTCGCGAGGGAGGCGACTTGGTCGTCGATGGAGGCGTTTGTGTTGGCGGACGGCTTCTGTGGATTCGACTTGGGCTTGTGATCGTCTGGGATGTTCGTGTCGTTTAGCTTTCGCTGGCGGTTGTAGGCTTTGGTGTAGTCGTGGTGGTCGCCGGATATTAGTTCTGGCACTATTTCGTCTTCGTCTTCGAAAAGGTCGTCAATTTCGTTATCGTCATCGTTAGCGGGCGTTTCGTTTGTAACTGGCTTTTCGACCTGGTCGACTTCTTCATGCTGTTGCTGTGGCAGCTCTACTCCTCCGTCGGTGGTGGCCATAGTTGGTTGTGTGTGGAATGTTTACAGGATCTGAAGGATCGGCATGGGCATGTATATTTCGTCACACGTGAAATTCGAATAATTCTGCCACTGAGGGGCAACGGCGGGGCGAGCCCTGGAAGGCGGTGTAGCGATGAGTCACGTGCCGATAGTGAGCCCTGCCCACGGGCGCGAGTGAGCTTCGGCTTCAGTTGTGAATCTTGGTAGCCAGAAAAAAATCAAGTGAAAAGCTTACTAGCTATTTCTGGGTAGCGCCCCGTGTACACCTGCATCTCACATGTCTGGCACCGGGCGTCGGAGCGACTGCGCCGCCTACCAAACTGCACCTGTCAGACATGCCCCTTTGCAACCTCTCCGCGCGTCTTTTTTTGCGCCGACATGTTTGCAACCGGCCGTTGGAGAGACGTCATTGATAGACGGATGATCGCCAAGATTAGATAGGAGAGCGCGCATCGCTCCAGCTGTCAGGGCTGCCCAGGTGCGCATCGCAATGACGGGAAACGTCAATCCCTCCCACTTGCTGGGCGCAGCGGCACAGCCACATCCACGCAGCCGGCCAACGCCCAAAGCATAAGAATTAGTGGCTGGGAAGAAGAAACATGAGCCAGATGATGCCAGGCACTTCTCCATTCTGATAGGCGCCTGCGGCGTCGCCGCCAGAACGGGCTCCGCGGCTCGACTATCCTGACACGCCCTAGTCTCCACAGACGGCTGGTGAAACACTTCAGGAGAGCCATCACGACCATTCAGGTCTACGCAGCGCTTGAACTGGAGACATGTTGCATGGGCTTGAGAAGCCGCATGGACTTCGGCCGCTGGCCGCTGATGCGCGTCCTGGCGCGCAGGGGAGATTGCTTCGTATAGCATTTCGTGACTTTTAATAGTCGGTGCTCCTCTGACACGCAGCACTGGCCTGCACTCTTTGTCTAACCTTTCATACTTCACACTCTCTCAGTCGATTCTCTGGACGCAGGTCGACCTCAGTCACTACATTCTTTTCAACGCTCGCTTGCGAAGCACTACATTCCTTAACACCACTCTACGCATTGTTGACATTGTGTCTTGCGTGTGAAACGACGCCGTACAGCACATCTCGGACGACTACTTCTTTTTGTCTTATCAACTTATCTCGAACCACTAGACTTTACCGAGATATCCACCATGCGTTTCTCCACATACTCTACCGCGAGCGTGCTGGCTGCTCTGGCCACCGCTCAGACCTTCACTGATTGCAACCCCATGGAGAAGAAATGCCCTAACAACCCTGCCATGCCCCAGAACTGGGAGACCGACTTCACTGCCGGAAAGGACGCTATCAAGGGATGGAAGCAGACTGCCGGTTCCCTGAAGTATGGACCCGAGGGCGCTGAATTTACCGTTGCTAAGAAGGGTGATGCTCCCACTATTGGATCCGAGGCCATGCTTCACTTTGGATACGTTGAGGTCGTCATGAAGGCAGCTCCTGGCGTCGGCATTATCTCTTCAATTGTTCTTCAGTCTGACAACTTGGATGAAGTCGACTGGGAATGGATTGGTGGCGTAGACAGCCGTGTTCAGCAGAACTACTTCGGCAAGGTACGCGACCAACAATTTGCAATGTCTTTTCCCGAAAACTAACACCAGCCAGGGCAACACTACCACCTACGATCGTATGATCGAGGCCGATGCACTCAACAACCAGAACGAGTTCCACAAGTACGCTCTCAACTGGACTTCTGAATCGCTCACCTGGATTGTTGACGACAAGCCTACCCGCACATTGAACTTCGCCGATGCCAATGGCGGCAAGAACTACCCCCAAACGCCCTGCAATGTTCGTCTTGGAAACTGGCCAGGTGGTGACTCCAAGGACGAGGGCACTCGTCAATGGGCGGGAGGTAACGTCACCTACGACGATGCGCCCTTCACCATGACTGTCAAGAGCATCAAGGTCATCAACTACTCGCCCGGCAAGGAGTATGAGTGGACCGACAAGACTGGCGACTTCAAATCCATCAAGGTCATCGATGCCGGTAACACAGAGGGTGCTCCTGTCAACAGCGTAGCCATCGAGGACTCCGCTGCCGCCACCGGAGCTCCCATCGAGTCTGGCATCGACGCCCCTGCCGCCACTGGTGGTTCTGACAGTGGTTCCGACTCGAAGCCCTCTGGTGCATCCACTACCTGCACGGAGAGCGACGCAGCGAAGCCCACACCTCCTGCTGTCCCAGCCGGCGGCAACGGCGGATCTGGCTTCAACTACCCCACCGGCGGCGCCGCTGTCCCCCAAGAGTCAGGCAGCCCTGACTCTCCTACCGACAGCGACAGCGAAGATGAGCCTTGCGAGTGCGGTACTGCTACCGTCACCGTCACCGGCGCTCCCCCGGCAATCACCAACGCACCACCCGCCACCTTCACGACTGAGTACCCTGCTGTGCCCATCTCTAGTCTGATCACTTCCGCGGTAGCTTCATCTCCTCCTTACCCCACCGAGTCTGGTCTGGAGATCGACACCAGGTCCGCACCTGGTGTTGTCATGCCATCAATCGCACCTACTGGTGCGCTGCCTCAGCCCTCCGGCAACGCTACCTTCTCTGCCCCACCATCGCAGTTCACTGGTGCGGCGAGCCATGTCAAGGCCGGGGGTCTTGTCGGTGCTATGATGGGTGCTGTCTTGCTTGCGTTCTAAGTCGCTTGATAGATACTGATGATTTTGGAAAATAAATGCAAGGGGAGATTACGTTGGTTGTAAATATTATTTCAGTGGTAGAGCGTTCGATACGCATACTACATTTTTTGACGATAAAGACACGTTGTGATCAAATTCTTCTTTCTCCATAAGTTCTTCCTTGTGGATAATTGCTACTGCACACTACTTCACGTGCGATATTCACTACACCATTCACTACCGATAAAACTTGTCCTTCCTAGCCGGCTTCCCATCCATAAGCCCAATCCTCCCCACATCGTCATCAGCATCCATGTCAGCAACGAATCCCGGAATCTTATGCAAAGCCTCGCACTCTTCAATATCAGCAATCGTAGAATACCGTTGAAGCTTCGCTCGGTACGTCTGCTGCAACTCTGCCCCAAGCCTGAAGACTGTATGCCCATCCAGAATCGCGCTCCATCGTCGTCTGAAGCCATAGAGAAGGCAAAGACCTGAGCTGATCAAGGCCCACAATCCGAATAAAGCCACAGGAACAGCGGCTGGCATTACGCCCGGTTCGATCACGGTGCCAGCGACGAAAGCCGTGAGGTCGGGGACGTGTGATTCGAGGTGTGTTCCGTTAACGGCTATGAAATCCCGACCGTCATTGTACATGAGCTTGATGGCGTAGGTGGAGTATGCTTGTAGAAGAACCTGTCGAAGTTGATCGGCTTGTAGATAATAGAGATGATCATCAAATCTCGTGATGCCAAGGACAGCTCCTTCTGTGGGATCTTCGAACAATAGATCAACCGGTGACGGTAGGCCTATCGAGTCAAACAACCACTTCAACCAACCATACTCGGTGATGTTGAGTGTACAGGCGAGCGTCTCTGCACTAAAGCGTTTCGCACAATCATTCTTTGAGGTATACGTAGGTACTGGAGTGTCGCTCCGTTGGAAGTTAGAGTAAGTAGAGCGAACGCCGTCGATGTTTGCTGAGCCTACACTGCTGCTTGACGTACAGGACACACCAATTGCTCCAAGTCTCTCCTCACCATCGATGTACTCGCCGGTTAACGACTCGATCGTACGGTCGATGGTAATGTTCCCAGAACCTGTTGGGGCGAAAAGTGTTTGCCACAACAAAACCTCAAAAGCTCTCTTGTGTTCAATTCCGGGATACGGTTTTGAGGGATCTTCTTGCAGATTATGATAGCAGTAAGACGTTGACAGGTATTCCATATCGTAAAGCCAGCCGCATGGCGGTTCTTCGTTCGAGCCCGTTCGTAGCGACAGGGATTGATACGCAGTCTCTATGACTGCACCGATGTTTACTACCCCTTTCGCTAGATCGGGTAAGTATCCAGCGTCACCCCCTGCGGGCTCTTTCCTTATCTCCACAAAGGTTTTGTTGTCATGGAGCCGATATGACATGTAATTAGGAACCGTGCTCGGCACAGGAGCCAGGGTGGAGGTAGCAGCTGGAGCAAGGCTGTCGGTCGGGCCCAACGGGGACGCTGCTGTCGTGAATTCGTCGATGGGAGAATCCTGATCCGCTCTTCGTACAGTTATCATTCTTTCTAAATCGGGCAAGATGGATCTAGAACCCCAGACATCTGTTGAAGACCGACGGTCTTTTAGGAGAACGAAGTCAGACAATTTGTCTACGATCTTGCAATCGTAATGTAACAATAGACCCCAAGCTTTTCCCTCTATAGGAGTTTCACCTTGAGCGGTCAAAAAGATCTCTTCGACGCTCTCAGCATTCGGCAGTATTACTGGAACATTCTTCAAGAACTCGTTCTTCGATCGATCGAAGTTTTCAGGTGTGTAAACAGCACCATGTCCGAGAACACGTGCGGTGATGTAGGACCTTCTGGATGGCCTCCGACTCCCAGGGACGGCGTTGAAGGTCGATTGAACGAATCCGGTAACATTCGCTCCTTGCCCTGGCTTATCATGAAGGAAACCACTAGTCATCTCAAGACAGAGGCCTGACAAGGGCCAAGCCACGAAGACAACAACGCTTGGAAGTGCCAGAACAAACCACAACGGAGAAGGGAGCTTGCTGTGCTGATTGCGCTTCCTGCGTATTTGCACAACCCATTTGATTGCTTTCATCCAGCCACCGGGGCCAGACCATGTATTGTCAGCATGCAACATAAGACGCATGGCATCTTCAACTCTCCAGGTTCGTTCCATGAGCATGCCAGCCTCTGCACCAGCCAGTCCGTAGAGACTTAAGCTGAGTCCGATCACTCCCGCGACGAACCAACTGTAGAAGACCCATTTGGCACCCGGTGGTCCGAAGGCTACTGTCGATTCGGGGTGGAGCGGGGCGAGGTAGATGCGCCAGATGGTGATGAGATAAGATACTACGATCACCGGTCCAAGGATGCCGACTATCGTGCGGAAGTAGAAGCGGCGAAGAGGTTGGCCGAATGAAATGAAGTCTACATTTTGGAAGGCATCGGTCTCCTGACTGTCGATGTGCTCGGATGTGAGACCAGCTACCTGATTCTCCAAATGGACTTCGGGGGGTTGATCAACCGCACCCGCACCAAAATTCTGCGGGTAGCTGTGGACGCTCGCGTTGTGCTGGCATGGGTTGATGTTGACGTTCTGTTGATATTCAGTGCTATCGACGTCCTGTTGGTGATCGTCTTCGGAGGTGAAGCCGTGCTCAGAGAGAAGGCTAGTTGAGGAGACCTCCGTCGTGCGCCCCTGCAGTCTGCAATTGTCAGTCACAAACCCAGGTCTCGTCGCAGAACGAAGCTTACCGGTACTCGGACTCATACTCCTCCATTTCCCAAGCAAGGGCTCCAGGCACACCGATTGAGCTGTAACGCTGAGAACTCATGTCGGCCAGACGGCGAAGATGAGACGCAAACTTTCGCAGTAAAGTGGGAAGTGCTAGGGGGCTGGACAGCGAGCCATCTTGTATATGAGGTGTAGTGCTACCTGTTTCTTTGGCATGGCAGTGTCAGCCTTGTGATGTTGCACAAGGCTGTGGTCGAGGTGTGGGGGCGAAAGAGCGAGATTGAACTCCAGCCCTTGCGCCTTCTGTATTGGCAACCGGCTGTTCGGGGTCCACATGACAACACCGATCGCTCACTATTGGCAGGCACCATGGAGATGTTATCTTAATATTGCGCTGTTATTCTTGCGACTACATAGGGATTGCTTCTGGTAATCCCGGTGAGAATTGGTGCAACCACCTGGCGAATCGCGTGTAGAGTATATGTGTACAATACAGGAATATTCCGCGCAGCACCAAATGCGCCTTCCCAAGCACCTTCCCTGATGACGGAATGAATAGAGTGTGCCTTTGACTCAGTCTGCGGCCTGGTCTAGTTCGGGCTGGTCATTGAGTTCCTGATAACAGAGCTGACCTTCCCGCCCCACTGCCACCCGTCATCACCATTGACTCCTAGAAACAGCCGACCACCACTCCCCCGCAGTTCAGACATCTCGAACCGTAACCCTGAGATTAGGACCAATCTCCCTTCTCACAACATAAAACCCACTGTCTTCCCTCCTCTCCGTGGTATACTGATGCTGTTTACTACTCTGCCACCACTTCTCCTTAGCAGCTCGCTCGCACTTCGCCTTGATACAACTAATCCATTTGGAGCATTTGCAAAGCGAAAGTTTGTACCATGCACACTTCCCGCCACTTCCAGTCCCCTCGGCTCCTGCTTTTGTAGCGTTCTGTTTATCACTAGCAACACCCTCAGTTACAGGCGCACCTCGCGGCTGCAGAGCTGGCGGCTGCCGCTTCGTTCGTCTGTCTCTCTGGCCCCACTTTGTCCGCCGTTGAACTCCTTCGATCAAGGAGCCCGGGACGAGGTATGATGATGGGTCGGGAGGGTAGGGGTTGACGAGACCGTAGGGTGTGCTGAAGGGTGTGGGTGTGATGGGTTGGAGGTAGGAGAACTTGGTTTCGGAGCGCAGTTCTGGCGTTGGCGCGACGGCGCAGTGGCTTCGTGTACGCCTGAGGTCGGGCGAAGAATGTGATGCTGGGTCCTCTTTCACGGGCGCTTTATAGTATGAGCCGGCATAATTCGTTGGTGTATGACGGCGGTGGTGGACGTTCGAGGAAGAGGATGCCGCTTCATGCTTGACTTTGCTCGCTCCTGTCGGGATGTAGTATCCCTTTTCTGGTTCCTCTTCTATCTTGACTTTTGAGGCTGGGTGTGACGCATCGAAGTCACGGAAAGTCTCGACAGCGAACCTCTTGTAGCTGGAGCTAACCGATGGACCTGAAGTTTGGCTGCGAAGTGACAGTACATCTCTATGTACTAAGGAAACATCGCTCTCTTTCTTAACTACCGTAGATCGGTAGAACTGTTCAGCGAGGGGAGTCGGTACGCGGAGTGGAGATTTAGACCATGCTGTTGTGAAGGATGGGTAATGTGGTGGTGTTTCGAGATCGGCTTTATCTTCGACCTTGATGTGAACTGTATGATGACGGGAAGAAGGCCCTCCGGGCTTGACTACTTTTGTTTCTTCCCTGTAGTCTCGACGTCGGGATGCTGGCGTGGTTGGGTATACCGTGTTATCGGGACTCTCGGGCTCAACTTTTACTCGTGCGCGAGGCTCTTGCTTCCTTCCCACTACTGCTATAGTGCTATCAGTTCCAAGCGCGCTGAATCGGCCAGGTATTTGTATGATTTCGGGAGTCCTTGGTGGCACAGCATCTCTGCTTTGTGTACGAAGATCCCTTGCTGAAGAGCTTCGCCTGGATTCGCTGACCTTGGGGACCATCGTATGCTAAGGCTATCTTGCTTTGATCTGGTTTCGATAGTGTAGTAGATGATTGCGACGCAAGATCCGTTCCCTATCCTCGAAATATTCGGCGATGTTGCTGAGGTACTGAATGCAGGCGGGCGTGAAAGTCAGGTTGCAGACGATTAAAATGCTTAGTGAGTGAGTAAAGATAGAGCCCAGCGATGTGCCATCGGTTGCCGACGATGGGACAACGTAATCGGGAAGGAGCCTGGACGCGGTAGATGCTGTGAGGTCTGCAGGGCAATTACGAATTTCGCTGATCGTCTACTCAGTGTGGCATGTCATGTGCGGGTGTACCCAGGAAAAAGGGTCCTGGGTGGAGCCATGGGCCCAAGATTCAATCGACCACCTGTTCTTCGCGGAGAAAGACACGTAAGCTGTTTTGGTAATGTTTTGATGTAAGCATACCCAAATGGAGATGTAATGAAGACGTCGGACCAGCGCAAAGAAGACGATTTTGACGGAGTCATGGCATTGTCTGTCGAATGTAAGATCGAAAAACCCTGCGTCAGCTGACCACCCATTGACACTGACACTGGCTCAAATGCGCCTCTTCCCGTTGCTCTCGATGCCTAATACGTCCCATAGGTTGCGATGTGGAGACTGGAACATTACCCTTAGAATTGTCCAAACGCAACATCACCTCCTCCGAAAGTGGAGCAAGGGTACCGTCCGATTTCATAGTCATTTTCGAACAAAAAGGGGTCTTTCCATTTGGCGTCCACTCCTCGACCAACTCAACGGCGTAGGGGAAATCCGGCAGCGTAGTGGAATTATCCACATCGACCGTGCCTGGTGCAGTATTGGTAGCGCTGGCAGTCGTAACTCTGGTAGGGTAGATGTAACCCTCAACAGTCGTCTCATTGAAGATGCACTGCCACAGACTATTCCCAGGTTGAAATGGAGTATTTGACGTCGAAGCATGCACATGTGGCTCTCCTGCCAGAGGTAACTCATCCTGGCTGAGCAATACAATCTTGTCGTAGGTGGTGCGGAAGTGATAGGCGAAATCGTCTTCGCGCTCAGTACCGTTAATCGCTAGTAGCTCCATAGGTGGAATGACCGGTATGCGTTCGCCATGGCGGACGATGTCGTTGCTTCCCGATGGCCCCACCGCTATCATGATCGTGCTGTCGTTGCCCGCCAAAGCTGGAAGTATGCTTAGTTGAAAGGTTGTTTCAGACGCGCATTGCCACGCATTTTGATCCTCGCTTGTCAGACATGCCATACTCTGCTGCTGCGGAAGTTCAACAGGTAACGCAAAGATTCCACGTCGGAGGTTGTTGGTAATGTTGGTACTTGAAGGGCCATTGCTAGCAACGTGTGCGGTCGCATCCTCATCGCTGTAGACTCCATGTTAACGGCGTCCTTATGGTTTGCCTTCGTACAGCTTACCTGGTTGAAGATCGATCTTTGACGGCCAGAAGACTCAGCCCGATCGTAAGGAGCATCAGAAATTGTAAAATCAGCAGAGTGAAGATGCGTTGCCGCTGAGACATTCGCTGCCATATACATCCTGGAAGTTTAGGCAGAGGCTTGTTGAAATTATCGGCTTCGTCCCATGATGGCACGAAGACTTCTTTCTCTTCTTGATCTGGACTGAGTATAGGAGCCGAGAGAATGTTACTCCTTTCGAGAGGGATCGCCTCGATCCCATCCTCGATCTTTCTGATTAGGCATGTTCCCGAATGAATTCCAGATGTGTTTGTTGAGTCAGAGCCCCCGTAGTTGGCTGGGAAGGTGGTATAAATGCTGGGGAGTGGCTGGATGCTGCTGATGGACCGGTAAGGCAGCCGCATAAGTGCAATCCAAAGTTATTTACGAATAGATATTAATAAAGAATGTATTCCTGGTGTTGTCTCTGGACCGGCCAGGCACGCAGGGCTGCAGGAAGCGAATGAGAGAATAGAGAGTGAGTAAAAATAATGAGTGCCGCATACCAGAAATAGTTCCACATGAAGGGATATAAACAATTGCTCATGACCTGTTGAGTTCATGAGAAGTATGTGCCGTGCTTGCATATCGCTTTAGCTACGCCGTGCTCATACCACAGCTCGATATCCAATCGAACACCCACCACGGCCAGGGGCTGGCTGGATTACGGCTCGTGTTTGCTACCAGATCAAGGACGGATTGAGTAAGAGGCTGGAATTGTAATCGTTAGCAGCCTAGAGTATTGGCTCTGCGCTCCCCGTATGCGATGGATTGTAGGTAAACTGTGCGATAGCCGCCCATCCTCATGCCGGTCCTTGGGACGGCCGTGGTGCCTGGGAAGCCAAAGCGCGGACCGGACCGAATGCGAACAGCTGTCGCGAAGAATAGAATTGGGAATAGCTGAATGACTTGTGCGCTATGCGCGAGCCTAGGGCACGCGTATACTTCTGCGTAGAGTATCGTTGGCAAGCTACGCTCGATACCGAGAGGCTCAACTGCGAAAGTCGCGAATAGAGACCTCCGCTTTGAATCGGACATGGTTGTTGAAGCAAGCAGCGGGAAAGGTTGTACCGTGTGTCAACGCGCGTGTTTGGTGTGTGACGACTAGCCGCCGCCCAGACGTGCCGCAGGCCGCATCACGGGTCAAAGACAGAGCGATCGAGCAGAGCTGTCGGCCTGTATCTCTGCCGTCTCGTTCATTTACCGCCGAGTGCAGACTTGCAGCACGTGTGAAAGCTCATGCTTCGTCGATGGCCTGAGTGATGGGTCCAGGGTACGGAGACGCGTCGTGGAAATGTGGGTGGTTGGTTGTGCTCCAGGGCTAGCTCCACCAGCTCTTCCGAGGCGGGCAGGATCGACCCGAAGCGCGTCAGGAACTCGGCCAATACCTTCACAACCATCCAAAGACACCCCATCGACTGCCGCTTCTTCTTGGTGACGAACAAAACGCGCTTCGGATTGTGCAGTTGCCTTCCCGTTCTCAGAGTCCACTAATATCTACCCCGTCCTACTGCCGGTTCCCCAGGTGAACGCAGAGGCCACCAAGTTTCGCAAATATTGACATGTTTCGAAACAAGAAACAGTGCACCAGCGTCATCTCACCATTGTTTCGAAGACAGGCAATCTTCAGGATTTTATACTGGATTGTGCATATTTCCTACTTCGATAGAGCTGACCAACATGGCTCCCCTGGCGTCATCCGCTCTGTTTCCAAACATGCCAAGCTGAACGAGTAGGAGACTGAGCATCAAGATGCCGACATGCTTGCTGATGATCCCATGTGCTCTGCTAATATTAGACATCTGAGAGAGGTAGCGTGCCTGAAGTGGTTCAAGGCTGCGACAACTAAGCTGCAAAGGTGCTGAGCTCATCCACCCAGCCCGAATGTGTGCCACGATGACGGGAGGAAAAGCTCAGCCCCAGATCTGAAGCGTATAATACTTGCGCATGAACCGTTGAGAAGTGCTTTTTCGTTCCTCTCCTCGTATTATGCCCACTCCTACGCTCGGTCAATATGGAATTATTACAACCTTCTCCCCGCACAGCGCCCGCCTCTATGACATTGATGGCAAGACGACAAAAGATAAATCGGCTGCTGTTCGCATCGAGCGCTTTACTTTGTGCTCTATCCATCACCGTATTCGGATTGATCAGTTCTGTGGTGGCTTGGATACATGACCAGAAGCATCAGGTGCATGTTTATCATGTGAACTGGCCAGGAAATCCGACCCAAATTAATGTCGAACCAAAGAATGTGTGGACGGATCAAGGGCACGAGAGCAATGGCGCAGCAGTATATGGATTCTTCTTGGGCATTCTCGGCATGTGGACAGCATGGAGGATGAGGAAGGCTGGACAGGTACGGTGACAATGTTCACGATCTCTTGAACAGGGTACTAAAAGTGTGAATAGGGTCGGAAAAGTCTTAGCGCCCTTGCTATCCTGTCGTTGCTCGGAAGTGTGTTCTGTTTGTCGGCTTTCATCTTCGTCTTCGTAGTGACATACCAGACGACAGGCCAGCACATCAAGGAACCTATCGCCTCCAACACAGTCGGAATCAACTACCCGTACCTGAGATGGACGCCCGAGACGTGGTTCAAGGCCGTGCTAGATCTTCCTCTGGCTGACGGAGCGCAAGCCGCCGAAATCAAACTAAGGGTTGGTTGCATGGTAGCCTGGCGGTGGATATTGCTTCCTCTCTTACTTGTATATATCGCGACATTCTGTGTTACAGCGATAACTTGGTCAAGACGGCGGAGAGACGATGTACTGGTGCGGACGAGTTCAGGGCATTCTGTGGAGGAGAAGGGGTCACGATGATTGGCATGGCGGTACACATGACATTTAGCGAGTTGGCGAGCCAGCATGTGCGAACCTCGGCGCGTGACAAAAAATGTCCCCACCAAGCTCCGACTCTCTTCAACCCGCAATACGAACACATACAAACACACGCACCCCTCCTCTCCCTCTCCCTCTCCCTCTCCCTCCCCGACGAGAGCCTTCGCTATGGGCTGGCTCATCTACCTCGCCGCCATGCCGCCCGCGCTCATCATGGCCATGCGCCTGCTCTCGCTCGTGCTGCCCGCGAAGCCCGCCCAGCTGGTGTCGTACTACGCCTTCGCAATAAGCTCCATGCTCCTCATGCTCTGCTGCGCGCTGTACGGCACCCTCGTGGCTATACCTCTACGCCTCGTGGGCTATGGTGGACTGATCCAGTGGACGGTTGCGCGGGCGTTCAAGTGGGTCATGTGGTTGTGCACCGGCGTAACATTCAGAGTGACGGGGAGCATGAAGAAAGAGGGCGGCCTCAGTGGAGAAGACGCCCTCAGGGACCGTCCCGCCATTTTTGTGGGCAACCACCAGACGTGGGTTCACCAGGTCCTTTGGCTAGACCAACTTTGGACAGCAGCGCTGACACTTCTTGCAGCGAACTCGACGTCCTCATGCTCGGCTGCATGTTCCCCAAATACACGTCCGTCACGGCTAAGAAGTCGCTGAAATACGTCCCCCTACTCGGCTGGTTCATGGCCCTCTCCAAGACCGTCTTCATAGACCGCGCAAACCGCACCTCGTCCCGCGCCGCATTCGATACTGCCGCACACACCATGAAGACAACACGCCAGAATGTCTTCATCTTCCCCGAGGGCACGCGCTCCTACGCCTCGAAGCCTGAACTCCTGCCCTTCAAGAAAGGCGCCTTCCATCTCGCCGTACAAGCCCAAGTCCCAATTGTGCCCGTCGTCGTTGGCAACTACTACCACGTTCTAGACGTAAAGGGCAAGAGGTTTACGCCAGGCGTGGTGGATGTAACAGTCCTGCCGCCAATACAAACAAAAGGAAAGGGACCAGAGCATGTCGATGAGCTGCTCAAGAAGACAAGAGACGCTATGATGGATGAGCTGATTCGGCTGAGCCACGTCTCAGGCACGGGCAATGGCGAGCCTCTTCCGCGTACTAGTGGGACCGACGGACAGGAGCGCAGTGAGCTGAGGAAACGGAATTAAGATCTCTGGCACATACGGCGTTAGGTGGCGCTTGGTATACATCGATATCCCAAATAAGGCAGGTTCGATACTGTCTGGCTGGTTGGCATGTACATAATCGTAGTTTTAGTACAAAGATCATTTACTCAAGATTCACTCGACTCACTGC